TACCAGTGCTGCAAATGTAAGGACTGAAAAGTTTGACCAATGTTTGCAAAATAAGTTGAGCTCAGTCAAATTTGATGGAGAGCGTCAACCTCAATTTCAAGACTTGCAACAGATTCTTGTTTGGATTTAGGTCTAAACATGCGAATATGAATTGCTCTAAACCATTGTAGCTCTGGCTGTGTCTTTAGAGTTGCGGTCCTCCTGGAAGGTTAGCCTTTTCCTCTAGTCCTAAATTTTTTGGTGTCTCTAACAATTCCACCTTCCCTGTTCGTGCTTGATAAAAGCATCCCTACAGCATGATGCTGCCATGACAGCATTTTAAAGTGAGAATTGTGTGTTTAGGGTTAATGTTGTAGTGTTGGTTTTCTGCCACATATAACATTTGCACGTATCCCAAAAAGTAAAATATTGGTCTCATCTGACTGGAGAACCTTTTTGCACATTGTCACCATCAGTGCACACCATAAAATAAAACTGCAGCTTTTTATACACATGCTGCATGCACACGCCCACTCGAGGCTCTCTGGTATCTTGATGAATCAGTACAACTGTTTTCATGCTCGTGCCTGTGAGTAAATGTGGTGATACCGTAGTTGGTAAATGTTGCTGCTCCATTTCCTTTTGCCACAGTTTATCTTTCACATTGTCAGAATAACTATGAGCACAGTAACAGTAAAACATAGATTTATTTTTTATTTTAGAGCAAATAAAAAATGAAAATGGTCTTAAAAAGAACCCCAAAAAGGTCCATTTGCTTGTATTTTGACTACATGAGCTAAAAAAAAAAACCTTTTTATTATGCTGTATGTGTACTATTTCCTTTATTCTCATGTTCTGTCTGTTTGATGAGGGCAGGTCACCCTGAGATCCCCAGATATGCCCACCAGAAAGCAGCAGTGTCCTCGATAAAGGGTTACACTAAGACCAAACTGCTGGGAGAAAATATGGCATCTGTCTGCTCCCCTCTCCTAACTCCAAACGGAGCTCAGAGGATGTGTTGTAACCTCTCAGAATGTCAAATAGCCTTTCAGTTTGAGGATCCTTAAAGATTAGCGGCGAGCAACAAGTCACACATGAGGCAAGAATACCCAAGGGCAGACATCACAACAAGATGGGGGGGGTCTGAGGTTATTTGGGAAGGGCTTGTTTTTTCATGATTTTCCTCATAAGCGTTTGATGGATCCATTTACAGGGTAATCATACAACAACGGTCTGTTTGCTCTTGTTAATTAGATTCTGCTTGTTGATGCATGAAGGATTGTATCTCACAAAGCCAATGCCACCCTTAGTAGTGGGAGGCCATTGCCTTGAACCTAACAGGCTTAACAGCAATAAATGGTTTTGTTTTTTATTTTCTCTCTGGTTAGACATCCAGAGGCCAGTGGTTATCACAATCAGCCTATGCTCTCTAGTCAAGCGTTAACAGAAACCCTAAAAAGATCTGTTTACTCCTGACTGATGAAGAGAAATTGCTACATCATTGGTACAGCTAATCATCCCAAACAGATAATGTCCTTGTAAGGAGGACAAACCTTAAAAGTTGCCGAAATTAAAGTCAATGAAGTTATAGTTTTGTATGTCAGGTGATAAATTTAAATGAAAGCACATGATTTGTTTTTTTACATGTCAGTATGACTATTTAAAACATCTAATATCTGAATTCTTACACAGAATCTCTTCCTGAAATGGGGCAAGCCATCTTTGCTCATTTCCCTTTAAAATAAGACTTTATTCATCCCCCAAAGGGGAAATTGAATTGTCACGGCAGCACGACAGAGTAAAAATGTGCACATCTAGGAAGATAAATTAAAGAAAAAGTATTAATAAAAACAAATGGTCCAAAAAGTACTTGTAAAGCAACAACAAAGGCAAATACATAAAAAGAAGATTCCCCCTTTTTTGTCTGTTTGGGCAACAAGTAGAAGCCATTTGTCACAAAGCATGGCCATTGACCAATAGATCCATTCCAATCTGAATGAATTTGAATTTCCTGGTTATAATGCAAGTCAAATTCAGTTTATGCCCTTTTTTAATGTTGTCTAAGAAAGCCAAGTCGAATGAAGTTGAATTAAGTGATTGACTTTGCTGCAGGCAAGTATGAAAGCTTGTCAATATTTTATTTTTCATTTAGATATTTTTTGTGGCACAAGACAAGAAATGGGCAGAGAGGCAAGGGGGCAAGACATGCAGCAATGTTCTCAAGGTCTGGAATTGATATAACACAGACGGACCAGAAGCTGTAGCTGCAACTTCAGACTCTTTAACTCCAAACATCATCCTAAAGGGTAGAAAGCACTGAGATTGTTAGGAAAAAACATAGTCGTTACATCAACAAAATAATTTAGATGTGTATAATAGAGTTTTTCAAACTGTGCACAACAAAGTACACTTTTTTGTTTAAGTGTACCCACCCACAAAAATGTTGGAACACAAGGCCCATTGGCAAACAGCTGGCAAAATGTCGAGCAGGAATCAATAGTTGAGTTTTGTCCGTCACACTGATGATTGTTTGAAAAAGAAAGCAATGAATGGAACCTGCTTAATAATAAGTGCTCTACAAGTGAGACACAAGAAATCCTATTGTATGGTTATGTGTTTTTATTTTTAACTGATTTTGGATAGAATAACCACTGCAAAAGTCTTTTTAATACAAAGTTAATCTAATTAAATAGAAAAGGCACTATTCAAACAATGTTTTCATTTACTAAGGGAAAAAAGCTATCCAAGGCCATGGAGCTAATAAATTAAATGACATTTAAGTGTAGAAAACTGTAGAAATCTTAAAAGGGTAAATACTTTTTGCAGCCCTCTACAAACCCAGATGTGATCCTCCTGCATATATATATATATTTGGTCATGTGCAGTTAATGTTACATTTTACTTCAAACCACATTACTGTCTGTGTGATATTTGTCTCCTGCCTCCAGGCCTTCAATAAGGCAGTGAGAGTAGGTCACCCACTGGCCTGTATCTGATAGCAAGGATATCTCTGTCAATACCATGACCTCTGCAGAGGCATACAGCAGTCACCAAAAGTCGCTAACCAGCCTGAAAGACTTTCTGATTGCTCTAATATCTCTCACAGTCATTTATCAGTTCTGCCACACAGAGGTAGGTCCTATGGGATGTAGGAAAGATCAAGACATTGATGGAGACATATACACATGAACCCTGAATGAGCGACAATAATTAGACTTGCTCTGTGCATCTCCTGTGGTTCCACAACAGCAGCGTGAGCAAATTAAAAAGTCCCAGCAGTGACATTGATCCTGTTTCTGTCTGTGGCCATTTAAAGGAAGGAGAAGTCATTGTAGCAGACATCTTCCTTTGTTGCCCTTTGGCTCGCTGTTTCTGCCTCTCTTTGCTTTTGGCTCACTTGCCAAAGACCATGTTGACGGGGTTAGTGACTGAGCGGCTACATCACAAGTGCGATGATGAGGGGTAGCAGCGAGGAAGCAATTTTTGTAAAAATAAAGAGAAATGGAAAGAAAATGATAATGGGAGATTCTTCTTCAGACCAGGGGCTTGGCAGGGTCAGTACTGTGTGAGATGGAGATAATAATCCCTATTGTAAGCTCAGTTATATCATTTCTCTTCCTCATCCATTGCTCAGCCTCTCTTCATCTCTCTCTTTTTATCAGTCTGTCTTCCCTAATTGCTTTAATATTTTTTAAAAGCCTCATCATTTACTTCAACTATTGAACTTGCTCATGTTTTCCAACACTTCAAATATCTCATTTTTCTCAATTGAATTGTGATCGCACATCTGAATATTTCTTTGTATTACCAGAAAAATGTACAATTTTATTACTTGTGTACAAATGTTTTTCTCTCTCTCTTTCTTTTACAGTTAGAAAAGATCCAGAAGCACTCATGGTACATGTAAGTTTCTCTCAGCCTTTTCCCAGATTTTTACGTACCACAATTTCATCCTTCATTAGACTATTCTGCACCTGAAGGGAGCTTCCACATGAAAAATGACTGAACTTCAGCTATGTACACAAGAGCACATTTATGCAGGGCATGACTTCACTCTGGGGGACATGGGGGTAAATTGGTAGCGCATGAAAGAAAATTTGAAGCATATGGTCAAGTGAACAAGGAGAAGGCCTGAGGGAACATGTGGGGATGTGGAAACTAAACCAGTCTAACCTAAGTTCACACTGTTTGACATTACAAATACAATATATTCACTTTACTAGGCTAATATAAATCATTAAAGAACATTTAAATCACTTGTTATGAATGGAAGCAGAGTTGCTTTCTGAAAATATGATTTACACAAATAAAGAGGAAACTCGCATTGTGAGAATTTTTGCAACAGTATTATAACTGAACTTAACAGTTTAGTTTTAGGATAAACTTCTGCTATAGTTTATTAAAATGAGGTATCACAGAAGGAAAGTGAAAGTCCTTTAAACTCCTTATCTTTGACCGAAGGCTCATGCAAACAGCTAGAATGTTAAAAAGAGACGAGAAGGAACGAGCTGGGAGAGGAAATTGAGTTGTAGTATGAGATTTGTCAGTGCCAAGGATCACTTTCCTTCTGTCTTTTCAGCTTTAAGCTTGAAGTTCACTGAATAAAAGATTGCCAGTGAACAGTTGAATGAGAATTGTGGCCATTTTTTAGAGGCAACTTGCCTGTGGTGTGGAAGAACATGGGTGAATCATGTGCCCAAATCATACAGTAGGAACAAACAATCAAAAAAATCATACTACTTTTATATGATTACAGTATTGGCAAATCCCAAGGGATTGTAATGAGAAATTTATCGTGATACAAATCTGGATAAATTTTTTGTTAAATAACAATCCCTATGTTGCTTCTTTAAGTGAAGGCTGTTGCTTTTTATGCAGGCTTTCCATTCACAAAATGACAAGTAAGGCATGACTCTGGGTTTTTACTTCATTTTATTTGGATTGAGATGATTAAGGTTCCAATCAGGATATTTTGACCCCAGTAATGATGTGAGTAGTTTAAGATCAGTCATTTGTTTGGCATAGTGGTGGCGCAGGGGTTAAGCGCAAATGGAGGCCTTGGTCCTTGACGTCACGGGTTCGAGTCCCGGCCCGTTGTTTGCCTCATGTCTTCCACCTGTCTCCACCCCATTTCCTGTCAGCTTACTTTCACAAAACCCTTAATATGCTGATTCAACACAGGGTTAGCTTAATTAGGAAAGTCACTGTTGTGTTCTACTAAACAAGTCACCTTTAACATGCATCTACTTCTAAAGATATATCTGACTCAATACATGCAGGCACATTCTTCAATACAATCCAGTCTCGCCTATGCTGATGTTTTTAGGCAGGGAACAACACTTACAGAAAATGTTTTTCTCCTGTTTTACTTTTATTAAAACTGTTTGACTTTAAACACAAATGCATTTTTATTTTTCTAATCCGATAGATATTACATAAAATGTTTGAACAACCTATAACTGTTTTGGCACAAGAGATACAGAAATTGTTAAATGTTTATATGTTAAATTAGACTTAAGGTATCATTTTGTTATTGAATCTTTATTTATATATTTCGTCTTATTGAGATGATTTCTCATTTACAAGAGAGACTTTTTAATAGTACACGATAGCATTTTCTTACCCACAGCAATAGTGTTATTGAAAGACTAAATGAAAAAATGTTGCTTTCAGCCATTAGGACTTGTGCCTTGGCTTGGACTTGCCCCTCAAAGACTTAAGACTCGACTTGGACTTTAAAAAAAAATTACTTGTGAACATCTGTGATGTCTTTTTGGTGAAAACAGAGTGATTACACCTTAAATCCACCCATGTCTTAATATAATAAGTATATTTTATGTTAGCACAGTCAAATTGTAGAAAGGCGAGTTAGTTAAAGCTTTAATTTAGATCTAGTTCACAAGTTCACTGCATGTAGATAACGGAGGACGTTTTTATTTTAATCGCTGCCGATGGGGTTTCTGCTTCACTGAGTTCACCAGATGAAAAATAATAGATTCAGGAAGGAAGCAATGAGGAGCATATCGACTCAAATCTGTCTAAATGTCTGTATGTATAGGTATGTTTGTAGAAAAGAAGACTGCATTTCTTGTTGTGTTTTGCTGAAATAGAGAACTAGAACAGAAATCCTTGTGAAAATGGTGTCGGTGTAACTTGGCCTTTCAAGTTAAGGCCTGCCTGTGTTCTCCCCGGAGACAGCCAGACAAAAGATGGGGAAAAGTGACATATCTGGGAGAGTGTTTTGGGGGAAATGGGATAATAATGAGAATAAACTAAGTTTGTAAAGTGAGCATGACCGAGAAAAGCAGCTTGCAAATCTCAACAAAATCACTAAGTCATATACTTGTCGGATAAGCAGGATTATCCATGTACTTACATGCAAAACGGCTAAATTTGGCACACTAAGTGACTGTTATAGATGATGAAATATCATAATGAGCCAAATGATCAGATAAACAAGAAAGAAATGGACACTAAAATCTTTGCCAACAGCTTGTTTTGTTTGTAGAATCATAAAGTGCATTTACGAGGGAAAATTGACTGAGAAAGAAGCAGCCAGGTTTGAGATCAGAAGGGACAAGCTTCAATATAAAAACAAAATACAGAAAAATGTTTATAGTACTTTCATTTTAGTAATCGAGTATTCTATTGATTATTCTGATGAATAAACGAGTAATCGGATAAAAAATTGGCACATTATGCAGATTTTTAATTTAAGTACTGTAGCTTATTTAATGAGTCATACAAATGTTTCTGGATGTTTCTTGCTCAGGTGTTGCAGCATCAAGGATGTGCTATCATGGAATGCTAATTCAGTTTTGCAGTGCACGCACTGCGCTGTGAGTTTAAAGTGATCCCAAACTTTTGACACTTTGTTTTTTTTGGCACTTTGTTTTGCCCCTCACTATCTCCTCCATAGCTGAAAACCGCGCCTGGCATCCACGTATCAGCACCGTAAACTATCATTGTGAACGTGATAGCATTGTGCAACACAAATGACAACCCGGCCAGAACTCGAATAATTTGAGGAATCGTTTCAGCCCAAATCCTGTCTTCTCTGAGCCTGCTATCACTGTTCAGTCAGTCAGGTCTATGGTCCACAGATATAACATCAGAAGAAGCCCAGGGCCTGACAGGATCACGGGCAGATTTCTCAAAGTCTGCATGGACCAACTGTGTGATATTTTCATAGAACTGTTTAACCTGTGTCTTATTCAGCAGAAGTTTCCCAAGCTCTGAAAGGAGGTTTTACTAGTGGCAAAAAACAAATCTCCAAAAGAGCAATTTTTGGCCAGTGACTTTGACCCTTTCTTGTTATGCAGCCTTTAACACTATTTAACCCCACACATTGGTGAACAAACCCCTGCACGTTTTTAATCTTGATGTTGGCTTTGCGAAAAGGATTTTAGACTTTATAACTCTTAGGCCACTGGCTGTAAGGTTGAATGGTGTCCTGCCCAGAAAACAGTTCTCATCCACAGGGTCACCTTAGCGTTGTGTCCTCTTCCCTGTTTTGTATATTTTATACACAAATGCAAGAGTGTCTATAAAAACAAGCACCTCCTCAAGTTTGCAGATGACACTGTTACAATCAGTCTGCTGCAGGATAGAGATTCAACATGGACCTATTTTTGACTACTTTGTGAAGTGTTGTGACGAACATTACCTGAATTTGAATATCAGCCAAACAAAGGGCATGGTCATAGACCTCAGTAAAAAGAAAAACACTCTACTGTACCAACAACAATCAAGGGATCTCTAATGGAGACTGTGGACAGTTATGTGTACCTGGGAACAATCGTAGATAATAAGCATAGAATTATCTAATTTTTTAACCAAAGTTTGGTGTTATTGCTTGGTATGAAAACTTGTCCTTGGAAAATAAGAACTCTCTGTTTAGTCTTGTTAAACCTGCCAGCAAAATGATTGGCATTCAACAGCGGCCCATGTCTGATATCTGGAACAGACAGATTGTAAAAAAAAAAAGCCAAAACCCTCCTAGTTTGCAGAGGCCCCAGCCCCCTTTTAGAGGAATGTGTTCTCCTTCCTTCAAGTTGAAGGTAAAGATTGACAACTATAAAGTGCATTTGGTACAAATATTCTTTTGTCCCAAGTGCAAATAAAGCTCTTAATCACCTTTAACCAACGTTTTAGAATGTTTAACAGATTTACTGTTTTGTAAAATTCTTATTATTTGAGATTTTCATGAAGGTGACATTTAAATTATGCCTAGACTGTCTTCGCTGCTGTGCACCAGATTTCCCCTTGTGGGACGATAATGAGCTGAACTGAACTATTCTCATTGCTTTTTTGCATTCCTAGTGGTGGAAAAAATGAACCAGAGCCAGAGCAGCCTGTGCCCAGAAAGGTAACCATCCGCAGCCTGCCTTCTGCAGACGACATCGACCCAGATGTACTGGACAGCATGCACTCCCTGGGCTGCTTCAGAGACAAAAACAAACTTCTTAAAGACCTGCTCTCAGACGAGTGAGTGGATGGATGTTAAAAAGGGATGGATTTATACATGATGGGTTTGTTCTTGGGTCCTGCTTGGTTTTCCTCAACTCTTACAAAATTCAGTGAAGCTGTCGTGGGAGATGTCAGAAACCATAGATCATGTAACTGTTAACACACAGCGCTTACATTTCTTGGTGCTGGATACTTTTTGTCCAAACTTGTCTTGGTTTGCACTACAAGCTTGCTTGTGGGTCACCTAGTGCATGTCCTGCTACTGCCAGCTAGATTTTTCTTCTGTGAATATGCATTTACATGTATGTCTGCTGTAAACATGAGCCCACTAATGTTGCAGTTCTTTAATTTGCCCAGCCCTTTTCCGTTAATGCTAAATTGGAACTGCTCTCCCACTATGCCCTCGCTTCTCCATTTGCTTCTTTTCTCCTGGGAGAATTTTGTAATTGTGCTGCATGGGAGGAAAATCTGTGGTCTCCATTTCCCTTCCCATGCTTTATTTTAGCTGAAGTTGCAGGTCCTTGTCTCTTTGCCTCCCACCGCTTTCCAATCTGTCTTTATTATAGAGGCCTATTCCCTGGGTATTTTGCATAGAGACTGCACCACAGAGGGTAAAGACATTAGGTATCCTGATTTGCAAAGAAAGTAAAGGTCGAACTTGCGATCTTTTGATACTTTCATTGGACTCGACACTTACCGGCACACACTGTATGTAGTAATATAACTGAGTATGGTAAATAAAATATATGCATACTATGATGTGAATGTTTAATGATCTGTAAAACTAAACTGCGTTTGTTTTAAAGATGAAAACTATTTATCAGCTGTTTTACTGTGCACACAAAAAAGATTAAGGACATTAATCATAGAGGATTTGTACTTTAATCTCGCATTTATTTCTTTAATTTATTTAAATAGTTAACATTTCAGTCAGATTACAGTTTTCCATCTCCTAAAAAGGTTTAATCGTGTTTTTTTTTTTTTTTGTTTTTTTTTACTTCAACTGTTACCCTTCTGCAGTGAGAACCAGGAGAAGATGATCTACTTCTTGTTACTTGATCGTAAGGAGAGGTACCCCAGCCAAGAGGACCAGAACCTACCCCCTCGTAACGAGATTGGTGAGTCCCGGAAGGAACAATAAAAACGGCTCAGACAGAGAATAAAACATAGATTTGGTTTGTCACAAACATCAAGAAAACGGTTGGAAAATGTTTGGATGTATGTTTTCCGGTAAACAACTGTAATAAACGGACTGTTTTTAAGTATATTTATGTACTATAGCAATCAAACATACAACAAAACCCATTTAAATTACAGCCTCAGAGACATAGCATAAAATGGATCAATAATAATAATAATAATAATAATTATTATTATTATTATTATTAGTAGTAGTAGTAGTAGTAGTAGTAGTCTTAGTATTATTATTACAATATTTATATTATTATTATTTCAAGGATTGTTGAAATGTAGAAACTATAACTAAATACAAAGGTTTTTATCTATTTAAGCAATACCAGAGTGGATTTTATGATAAACAGCTGTTTATTCAAACAAAACAAGCCAATTTAGAGAACATTTTCTTGAAAAAATTGAACTCATGAATGCTTTTTGTGGCTCAACCAACCTG